ATCCAAGAAAATAAACACACATCCAGATGGATCAATTATCAACGAGGGTAGGAGAATGCATACAGTAAAATAACGCAAAAAAGGCATCATTTTTTTTCTTTTTTCTCATTAAAAAAAGGAATTGTCCACGGTATTGGGAAAAATATTCCGGTACCGCACGGATATTTATCGTATTTGTGAGTATTTTTATTACTGTTGTGATACCGAAGAAAAATGATAAAAATAGTTGCAATTACAGTGATAAAAAAAACAGCCACAAATGTGATAAATTACCTATAAAATTGATAATTTTTTTTGACTGAAAAAAAGTGGTAAAAATAGTTACCACAATAGTGATAAAACACTCATAATAATTATAAAAATACCCATAAAAATAATAAATTATCTACAAAAGTGATAAATTTTTTGTTGTAAAATAACTCATATATTTATAAAAATACCCATTAAAATAATAATTTTAGAGGTATTGTACATTTTTTTTTTCAATACTTTAATCAAATCCCTAAAAAAAAAAATCAAAAGTTGTGTCACTTTGGCTTAAACAATTCTAGTATTGAATTAATTTTTTATATATCTTTAGAAATGTGGCCTGGTTTTGTGAAGTAGTCTTGACCTGTAGTTTTTTTTTTTTTGCCGTTAAAAAAAAGGGGTGGGGGTCAAAGTGCGAGTATTCAAAGATCACCCTAATAAATTCTCATTGATGCGATTATGAGGTATCTGACCACACTCGTTTTTTCTCTCGAGAATAAATTTAGATAGATTAGCATTACAGTCAACTAGCGAACCTTAATACAAACGCTAAAATTCGATCCTTCAATTTTAAAGTGAGAGACGATAAAACTCAAATCAATCGAATAATGTTCCTGACCTGACACAGAGCCATTAAGATCATTTGGAAAGTCGAATCCCGTGCTTGACCAATAGTTTGCTTGTAACGATGATAGTAATTTGTCACGATGATGACTAGTGCTTTCTTGTGGATAAGCATCCAGCTTATGCTACTTTTATTATTTGACCGTTCATGTCCAATTTATGTACTTCCTACCCTATGGTCCATTTAAAAGAAAGAAACAATGGACAACTAGTATATTTTTCTTGTGGGTTTGGACTGTTATGGTCACACTATCGGGCAAGAATTTCATCCCAATTATTTTCTTGAACCTTTTTATTAGTGATTAAAAAAAAAAACAGTAGCGCTTGCTTATGTTTGTAATTTTCTTTCTCTAAACTTAGTCCCGTGTATAAAAATGTGTATACCTCTACATAACTATGTTTTATACATAGTAAGTTATATATAAATTGTTTTTTTAAAAGAATTAGTAATTAAATATACTTTTATTTTTTGAAAATATTTTTTTGTGCAAAAAAATTATCAAATAATGTACTAGTAAAATCCATTACCATAAGTGCTATGGTTTCCTGTGGGGACATTATAATGGAAAAGTGATTCAGCATTAGTCAAAGACCACCATAAGTTAGTCCTCCCATTTACGCACCCATAGAAAAAAGTGACCTAAAAAAGCAAGAAAGTCCAAAAAAAAGAGAATCCATATACCATTAATTAGGGGAAGAAAAGAAAAATAATAATAATAATAATAAAAAACACATGAAAAGAAGCCATTAATTCTTTTATGTGAATCAAGATTCTCTCTAGGACACCTTTTTTTTAAAACACATTATTTATTATTAATAAGTGAGAGATCCACTTGTATATAATGAGTGTCACCTGAATGCAAAGGGTGTATGATATCTTTTAAAGAGAAAATATATCGAAGAAGATCTCAGGAATCAACTATTATTTACTTTTGAGTTTTTTTCTAATCTCAACCTTATTTGACAACTTATTATTTATCAAATTACCGTTGTTCGTCGAAAGCATGGTTTCAAACATACTTCTAAATTTTTTTTTTATTAAAATCATATTTGAAACATTAAAAAAATATTTGTTTTAACCATACTTTTATATAATCTAATTTGAGGAATAAGTTTAGATTAAAAAGTTAGAAAATCATGGTATAATGATAAAAAGACTCACCAAAGGACAAGGTTTGTTGGCCCATAGAAAATTAAATAACATTCATTAAGCAGATGATGATGATTAGTTGGGCGAATGATAAGGACATGTCAACTGCTTACCCAAAAATTAATGATTTGAATTAACAAATTGAACAGCAGTTTGTAGAGTGAGAAGCAACCTTTGCTTGCAAAACTTTCATGTGTTAAAGAGAGGTGGCAACCGCATATGTTTGCATTTAAAATTGATATGATTAGTTGGGTAATGATATTTTTAATTTCACTGAAGAAAAGATTAATTAAAATTCACGTAAATTGATCTGAACACTTTTGATAGTCGAACAAAAAAAAAACGATGAATAAAGATTTGATCAACGGGCATACGCATTTGTTAAATCTATAATAACAAGATAAGAGTATAATTTGAATTTTTTAATTTAGTTTAACAAAAGAGTGATTGTGATTCATTCAATCCAATAGCTCAAAATCGACAATAAAAATTTCCTCCTAAATTGGCTAATAATTTTTTTTTATGTTAATCAGGGTCAGATTCTACCCCAAAGTTAACAAATTTCACTTATTTCATGTATTTTTATGCTAACTAAAGCCAAACAAAGTTTTCTTCTTCCTATTTTTTTCTTCTCTCTTTCAAACTTTTTTTTTCCTATGGAACAAGATTGATTTTGAATTGTATAATTATAAAAATGAAAGAAAAATAAATTATTATTTCATATATTTATATTATAGGACTAACGTCGGATGTATTCATGTTACCCATTAACCAGAGAGAGAGAGAGAGATTTGTCTTGCATAGGGGTGATGTGTTTACATTTAACGTGCTCGCACACCCAAGTGAGCTGAGCGAACTTGGGTCCACACTTTCGCCACCTTAGCGTTAAAATATACATGGAGGTGTCATTTAATAGCATAAAGTGCAGCTAACAAGGTCACATGATGAGTGTCCAACTATGCCACACACAATCCATCCCTATTCGGCTGCAATTTTTGTATTGTACTGCTGCTTTTGATATTTGTAGTCATGAAAATGACAGCTTACAGTGACAAAATAAAATAAAATAACTTTATAAATATATTTTTATTGGCAAAAAAAAAAGAAGGTCCAAATTTATATTAAGGTATTATATATTATGAATTATATAAGTTATAATTTTTAAAAATAAAATTTCAACTTTTAACATTAAAGTTATAATACAGTTAAGTTAGCGTAAAAGTACAACTCCTTAAGAGTATTCATGACCGATTATAATATTTCGCAATCAACTATGAATTAACTCAAACAATTAAAATTTTACATTTAAAAAGATTAGTTTCAACTTGAAAAATAATGACTGTTGGTAAGTCAAAGATGCAAAGCTACTTCGAATTTTAGGAGTTATCTGTGATACGGAAAAAATAAAATTTTCGTATCGATATTTATTATGGGGTATTTTTTTTTATCACTGTTATAGGTGTTTTTATTACTGTTGTGGTACCAAATAAAAATAGTAATAATAATTATCACAACAGTAGTAAAAAGACCTACAACAATCGTAAAATGACCGATAAAAATAATAATTTATTTGTACCGAACAAAAGTGATAAAAATAATTACTACAACAATAGTAAAAACACTCATAAAAATAATAAATTTTTTAGTTATAGAATAACCCATAAAAATTATAATAACACCTTTTAAAATAATAAATTTTAAAGATAGGTACCAAAATTTTACTTTCGGTGCAATAGTCATGTCCGTGATGAGCAATTCTATTGAGACCTAATTTATTGAATATGACCTTTGGATTAACTATGAAACCCATCAAACATTGGAATTTGGTGTTGATCTAATACTTCTATTGAAACCACATTATTATGTTAACAAATTATGTCAAATTTTTAGGTCTAAATAATATTACTCGTTTTTGTTGAGACCAAATCCAAGCCAAAAGTGAAACCAAATCCAAGCCAAAAGTGAAACCAAATCCAAGCAACACTTCGGAATACTCCATTAGTTCAAACAGCATTAACATTTTTGTCTAGCTAATTTACTTGACGTACGTATCAAAATAAATGACACTAAAACGCAACTTAGCAAAAGTCCTTATAACCAAACAGAACCCTTCATCTTCTGGTGAAGGTGAAGGGGAGGTAACTATGCAGTATGCACTATGCAGGTCTTAGGTTTATTGAATATCTTCCTATGAAATGAGGACGCAGTTAGAAAGAGCGAGAGGAGATCGAACCTTGTCAAATATAGATTAACAATTTTGAAGGAAAAAACAGGAAAACAGAGTATCCAGACTGTCTTAGCAGTGGGAGGTCATGGAATTCTACATAGTACGTATATGTTTTCTCTTAAATTTTTATTTTTTGGCTCCACTGTCTGACGGCGAGATTCGAACATAGAATTTTCTGTTTTGATACCATGTTAAACAACCATCTATATCAAAAACTTAAACTATTAGATAAGGTATAATTTTAACATTTATACTTCAACAATTCTCTCCTTGGTCTGATCAAAAATAGGTCATCCACGTTAGAACTAAAAAATTCATAAGAGATAAATCTCTCATTACCCGACACCTAAAGGGTTACAAAAATTCGAACTCAAGTCATTTGAGTTTACAACCCGTCCTTGTTAATTTTCCTCAATAATAGATCATCTATGATATAAGAATGGAGGCTTATTTATAGGTAGGGGGTTGAACTTGAATTTATAAAAATTGAGAAAAAAATGGATTGAATAGAATCTTACTCCATCTCCTTCCTATCATGCCTCGGTGGAAATTACTTCTAGGTGGTAATTTCCTGTTCTGGCTTTATAAGCTCTCTCTCAACAACCCCAACTACACTGAAATTAACATACAAAGTTCCAGGAAAATACGTCCCATGCAGCCAAAAATTTAAATAAGTGGGCATATTCAGTGCACAAAGATTTGGAGAGGGTTAAATGTATACAATCTTATCCTTACAAATAGATAGACTGTTTCCATAACTCAAACTCGTGACTTTTATATTACAATAAAACAACTTTACCATAGCACCAAGCCCGCCCTTTAACCCAAAACTTGAATACAACTGAAAAATTTTTGTTGGAATTTATCCTGAGTATTACTAGTTTATACTTGGCCCCTCATTTCTTCCATTTACTGGGATGTTCTTCTGCTGCAGTTTGGCCGTTAAGTGTCACTTCTTGACATAACTCACGTTTCAATTTCTTGCCTTACAGTAGACCAAGATTGCAGCATAGACTTGTTATAACAAAATCTTCTTCAGATTATGTCATGATCTATTTTGAATTCAGGTAACTTTGATTTAGACAAAAGATGTTTCCACCACTTTTGCCTAACTGTGATTGGGGAAGCCAACTATTATTTTATCCAGATACTGTCATGGAAGCAATTGCATCATAGAGATATTACTTCCAAGAATCCTTTGCTGTACTAACAGAGTAGAATGAGTCAGATCCATGAACAGAGAGAGGATTGGCTTCTCTAATTAGACTCCCGTCTTTTTGGAGCCTGAGAAGGGTCAGAAGTACGCAACGTTACCCCAGCATGTGGAGAGACCTAGATACAAATTTGCTGTTACTTTGAAGATGAAGCAACTGATAGAAAACACTACAAGCAAAATAGTTGTAATATTGCAGATAGTCCTAAAACAGATACTGAAAGCTACAAGCCATTTAACTAGAACGCAGACTTTAATCGTTATCTGTAATGATCAAGCTTGAAAATGTGCATCGCATGATATTTTCAATAACTTTCCTCGGTAGTTACAGAAAAGCAGCAACACTTGTATTGCTAATTAGCATATATCGCATGCAATATTGTGTATACTTCGGCAGAGAGATGAAACACCTGATACTCTGCCAACAAATGGTGTTCTTACCAATCCAATGTTTCTTGGTCCTGGTGCCAAACGAGGTCCACAGAGGTCTACACAATGGAGTTGGCCTGAAGACACCTCATTAGTCTGAGATTGAGGGTTTAAAATGGAAAAAAAAGCAGGAAATTTTTCTATTATTTGGAAAGGTGCCCTCCAAAAATCTGCAGCAGATATCGAGTTCCAGGGTAATATAAGAACCCGAGATGTTTTCAGACGAGTTATACAGCATCACTCCTGGTGATGAATGATTCCCACTCCCAAATTTGTCAACAGTATTGAATAGCAATTTCAGCTTTCCCAAAAGCAGGTATTTAGTTATATTGGGAATCACTTCAGTGATTTCCAACGAAAGCCAGCCGTCTTATAATTTATTGTTCCTTTAAGTTGTTCCCAAGTGCATCCACAATCTCCATGTGTCTTTGCATACTTAATTTCACATACACGAGAAAGTCTTGGTAGAGAACATTAAGATCAAGTATTTTTCCCACCATACCGTCTTTGCCTTTGCTGAAAGGAGTGTAAAGCCTCTAAGAACTCAGATTCTCCAAATTCAGGCCAATGTGATTGTGTAAAGAACAGTTCGGTGTAGGCTAACTGCCACAATAAAAAGTTGCTTACTCGAAGCTCACCACTAGTCCGTATTAGAAGATCAGGGTGAGGGAAGGCCGCACAACGTGTGTCTAACTCCTGTTCAATAAGAAACTCATTGATGTCTTCGGGTTCAATAAGACCGTCCTTTGCTTTCAAAGCAATGCTTTGGCAAGCTTGCACAATATCACGCTGCCCACTATAATTAACAGCCACAATGAGGTGGAGTCCTGAATTGTTCTTTGTGGTCTCTGTTGCAGCCATTATCAATTCCTGAAGGGGCTTTGGGAGCTTAGAGGAATCCCCAATTACAGAAATCCGAATGTTCTTTCTGTTAATAGCCAACAAACAAACTGGAATTTTATCTTATTTTTTTGGTATATATAATCAAGTAGTCAGAAATCAAGTTACCACACTTGCAACCAGACAGAAAACTGAAAAACACCAGTTACCAAGTGAAAGTATAGTAATAGCAACAAACATAAGATCATGTGAAAGATAATTTTGAATCTACAAATTCAGACATACATAAACACCTCTGCTGCTCCATCAACATACTCTTTACAGCATGCTATGCAATTTTCCACAGGAAAAAATTTTATTACCTAGTACCGATCCACTTACTCATGGTGTTAGGAAGGACAAACTAGAGGCACACCTAACATTTGGGGTACATGGACTATGGACTTCAAGAGACATATTTCTTGGTGGGTTTTGTGTCACTAGATTAGAGGAACATCCCTACGTAGATGCCTCGAGCACCTACTGAGTCATACTATTACTCCTAGATTTATATGTCCCATTCAAGTTACAAGAGATTAATTTGAATTGTGATGAATACTAAGTCTCCCTTTATTACTTGTCTGTTTGCTTAACAACTGAGCTTATGGTTTATGGGAGATGGATCTATTCTTCCATGAACAACTGATAAGTTACCAAGAATATGGACAGAGTTTGTTCATCATAAAGTTTGTAAATATAATTGCTCTCTCTCTCTCTCTCTCTCTCTCTGTGTATTTGGAAATCGATAGAATCAATGAGATACTTTTAAGGATGATTACCTGACAAAGTTCTCGAGCTCATCTTTCAATCCTCTTCCAAACAAGCGCATCAAGAAATCAACTTCCACCTTTTGTACCCAATAAAACCAAAACAAACCACTTATTAATGTAGAAAAAATTAAAACTAAGACGAAAAACAGAGGAAAAAAGGAAAAAATTACTAACTTTGAAGATCAAACACAAGCGAAAGGCAAAAATGAACATACTTTTGGTCGAAACCAGTTATCTGATGAAAATGCAAATACAGTAAGAACCCTAATAATCCCCCACTTGCAACACAGACCCATAACCCTTCTCAATGCCCTAATACCCGCTTCATAACCCAACACGACTGGTAAGCCTCTCATCCGGGCCCACCTTCTGTTTCCATCCATTATTACCGCCACGTGCTTCGGCATGAACTCTTTCTGGAGCCCCGCCGGCAATAATAAGTCTTCCTCCGCCGGAACACTGGTATCGGCTCCCACTCTTCCATTAACGACGGCGTCTTGGTCTTCAACGATAATCGCATTTTTTGCAGTGGCAAAGAGACAACACAGGAGGTGTTTGGGTCTTAGAGGGGTGTGTGGCACGAGCAAGAGAGATTGAGGTTTGGGTTGAGGAGAGAGAGTAGGGTCAGTGAGTGGAGAGATACTCAGAGAGAGTTGCAGAGAGGGCATTAGTGCAGGGGGTCTGGTCTACTTTGGTGTTATTGACAATGGTTTAGCCGCGGGATGAGATAGAAAACTAACGGTCACAATGACTTTTCCAACTACCCACCGTCCCACGAATTTGGGTCTTACAACTCAATTAAACGGGGTGAGTCGAGCCATGGGGCATGGTGCTGCCCAAGAGGGCTGCCAAAGCCCAACCCACTAAATCTGCCGTCAATCACACAATTTTTAATTTTTCGAGTCGTAATTAATATAATATAGTTGTGATTAACACTGGTAATCGAGTTAAGCTATTTGAACTCAATTTTTAATTTTGCTTGTATCATGTTACTATTGAATTTAAATTGTTAAGGAATTTTTGTGATCAGAATTTTACTTAATATACCAATAATTTATTCGTACATTAAGCTTCCATATATAACTATCAGAATATATGCATTTCATATAAAACTTCCGTTAATTATTAAAATATTTAATAAATAATTTTCATATATACTTCAATGATCTAACCTATGTAACTTTTTATAACTATCAAATGTCGTTTGTTGCTATTCTATAGGATAGGAATACAATAGTAAACTTGACAAAAAAAAGTCTTAAAACCAAATAAGTTTTCTTGTTCAATTTATCTCCAAATAAATCTATATAGGGGACCATCCTCTAAATTCCCTAATATAAAACAGGGATGCTTCAACAAACAAATCTAACGGTCTCAAATCAATTCATCAAACGACCATTAATATACCTTTCATTCCCCCCCAAAACCATCATTTTTCACCCATTAACATTTTTCAAAATTTTAACCTCTCGATCAATATTCAATCACCTCACCCCATCTCTTTTTTTTCCCCCTCGCTTCTGTCAGACGAGCCATTTATCTCTCTCTCTCTCTCTCTGTTATGCCCCCAGCGACACCACCAGCACCATCGCTACTTCGTCGACAACACCACCTCCATTGCTAACCCTTTTCAGGTATCCCTGATCTCTCTCTCACACACAAACACACACTAATCTCCATTAGAGAAAATGATCGATATAATGGTTATTTCTGTATTCACATTGCACACACACACCCACAGCGCACACCACACACATACACACAAATCGCACACACACACACACACAAACAAACTCATACACTTTGGACACCAAGTGTTTGTTCCATTTAAAATTGTGGTCATTCTTTAATCTTATTTATGTTTAGTCAAAATTATGAGTTTATTTTGCAATTGTACTATATATTTAGGCACAACTATGAGTGTATGACGTGCAGAACAATGGATATTATTGTTTGGATGCCTAAAGCAATTGGTAAATAGTCATGTTTAGGGATGACGATGGTTAATATTATGATGTTTTTTTTAGTAATCAGTATGCATATCTAATCAAAAAAATATATATATATGCATATGACATGGTTTGCTTATGATTCTAAAATATATAAGTTATATAGATAAGTTAATATATTTGTGGTATTATATTTTCAAACGATACTCTGTCGAAAAATTTAAAATTGCTTACATTGATTTCAATTTCTCTCGTTACATGGTTTTTGAATTAAGCATATTTTTTAGTGACCCAAAATGTAATTCAATACGTCTTGCTTGGTTTTTGTTCATTCATTGACATAGCGATTGATTTATAAGTAGTTTATGTCATTTTGTTTTGTGATTAAAGTAGTCTGTGATTGAAAAATTTTATAGGTTTATTTTAATTTTTTAAGAATTTTATCTTCTATTTGTCACTTTTGCAAGTATGAATATAGTTGTTTTGTATAGGAAGAATTATATTGTGGTAATTAATATATAATTGGATTTCATTGTGTATATGACATAATTTAATTATGATTATGAGATATATAAATTTTGTATACAGATTGATATATTTGTAGCATCATATTTTCAAAGGATACTCTGCCAAAAAATTGAAAGTTTTTTTACGGAGTATCCACATTTTGACCTTTTTTATTTCACTAAAGTCATGACATTAAAAATGACCAAACGATTTTCAGCGTAATGTATGTTTATATTCATTGTTTGATTATTTTGTATTTAAAAACTATGTACAGTGCCTTCAGACATGTGATATAGGGTGAGTTTAAGCCTTCAATTTTTTATTTGATTATTCAATGTTCGATTTTTTTTAGTTGCACCGTGCCTTTAGACACTGGTTATCCCTAGTATATACATATATTATGTATACATTAATTTTATATAAAAATACAATGATAAAATGTGTGTGTGTGTGCATATAGTATTTATTTTCTTTATTGAAATATTTTATATTTTCCATATCTGTTCATATCATCTATCTTCCATGAATTCCGCATCTTGTTGTTATTTGGTATCAGAGCCATTTGACGGCCTGGTGTATTACCTCTGAAATTTCATTTGAGTCATCTAACTCACTTTGAAATCTTTATCTGTTTCATTTTTTAAATTCATTTGTAAGTAGATTCGCACCCTATCACCCAACCTTAATCCAGACCCTCAAGAGTACGTAAGCCTCTTTTTGTCCCAAGTGTAAGTCCTAGAATTGGCAGACAGGGATCTTGGCGAGAAGTTGAGAGAAATTGGAGCCAGATTAGGGGGTATGTATAGTGTCGTCAAACTTACATATTAATTTAAAAATTTGATAACAATTTAGATTTTAAATATGAGTAGATTATTCAGATCTAATTCTAGAGCTAGTACATCTAGATCTTCAGATTATTCTATGCCACATAGAGTAAATGAGGAAGAATTAGAGATAGAAGAAAATAAAACAGACTGGAAAAAATGGAATATTCCTCCAGTTAAAGAAAAAAATATCTATAGCACAACTTGGGTTCAAAAAACCTTTAGTGAAGAACACCAAGTTAAAACTGTTGAACAAGTTCATCCTCTCAAGAAAGAAGATGAGCTTTGTGAGCTCCTCACTAAGGAGACTCTTAAGATTCACAAGGCTAAAGGATTTAATTTTATCCACATAGGTCTTGTCCAAGTGGCCATTAAACCACTTATTACCCAAGGCAGGAATGCTGCTGCCTTATTAGCACTACGAGATGCAAGGTTTCTGGATTGGGAACCCAGTGTCTTGGGAATCATGGAGACAGGACTCCACAGAGGTCCAGTCTACTTTAACTGTTTCCCTGACTTCACCCTTGATCTCCATTGTCCTAACACCCACATGACACTAACTCTTGGTATCCGTCTCACAGGCGATATTACCAGGTTAGTAAAAAACACTAGTTCCATAGTACTTATTTACAGGATTTATAACAAGTGTATTCGTACTAATCTTAATGTACAATGCCTTGACCCAAGTCCTAAAGGAAGTACTATGTTAATACAAGCCAGTTCTGCACAAACCAACATCCAAATCCCAAAGCAAATACTTTGGAAAGATGTGACCCTACCAGAGTCTTGGACCATGCAGAATGAAAATTTTGATAAAGAATCTAGTACCGAGTCAACGACAACTGATTTGGAGACTATCAAACAGCTCCCTGATGGATCAGTTAAAATATCATTTGATACTGCTAGATCCAGTAGATCTAGTAGATTCACTCCCAGGTATGATCAGATTCCTGAAGGAAGGAAATCTGATTTCTCATCTGTTTCCCATAGAGACAGAGAGATTGCCAAAGAACTTGACCATAGGTTAAAAGGAATCACTAATTCCTCTGACCCAGTAGCCAGACCAGTATACACTCCCATAAGTGTCCCATTACGGTCTAGGTACACAGAGTTCAAACAAACAGAGAATGATGAATTCACTCCTTCACCTTCTTTGTCACCCACTGCTAGTGCCTTTGATGGAAAAGAAGCATCCAACAAAATCCATCAATTATACACTATCACTAGGGAAAAAGAATTTTTTATGCCTGATGTTTACAAGTTAAAAAAGAATTTCAAAACCCCTGAGAACAGACCTCTTAGGAAAGCTTTTGAATCTTTACCTTGTAAAACCCAGGAAACCATTAAAAAAGAATGGGTAAAATTAATGTATAAATTAGAATCTAAGATTGCTTTTGAAGACTACTTAAATAACTTCCACAAAGAAGTAAAAGTAGTAACTCAGCAAAATTGGAAAACAGAATCTGCCGTGGTAACCGCTAGTCATCCACCAGCAGAAACTATTGAAATTAAATATGCTACCAAAACTGTTACTGCTACTCCCTTTAAGATTCCAGTTTTAGAATCTGAAAAGAAGATAGTAGAACAGGTCAATTTCACCAACCAAAGCCTGATTACTATAGGTAAACAGTTGGATAAAATTGAAACTAAAATAGATGAAATTAAACCATCTTCAGTAGAAAGACCTCTAGTCAACCTACCTGAAGAAAGAAAGAATTTAGGTTTAAAAGACAAAAACCTAATTCAACAGATTGATGCACTCTTATCCAAGAAGGAATCTACTAGTACTTCCCAGATAACAGTCATCAACCAAACTGAAGAAAGTTCAGAGTCTAATGCAGAATCTGATAGTCCAGAAGACACCACTGATTCTGACTCTGAAATAGAAAACTTAGAAAATCAGTTTAGGGATCACAGTATGGCCCAACCTGATTCTAAAATCAATGCACTGGTTAGAGTCCCTACCAGCTCCACAAAGAACTGGTATTCCAGACCTACTCCACCAGATCTTCAGTATGAAGAGAAAAATGTGTTGAACCAATTTTCTGTTCAGTCTAACAGACTCTATGAATGGAACATAGATGGTCTAAGTGAACAGGAAATTCTTAACAAGATTAGTCATCTATCCATGGTTTTAAATAATTATATGACCAATCTAGATAGCCCTGAACCTGAGATTGTCAAACTAATAGTTTCAGGATTCACAGGTGTTCTCAGAAATTGGTGGGATAATTATTTAACCCAGGATCAAAGAGACAGTATCATTAATGCTGTTCTCAAAGATGATGAAGGCATTCCGATCTTTGATGAAAGGATTGGAACAGCTAGATCTGATGGATGTAATACCCTTATGTTCACCATCATTAAACACTTTGTTGGCACTCCTAGTAACATTACTGCTAGGATCCATGACCAATTGACCAACCTAAAATGTCCCAC